GGCGCACAGCGAGGCTCGCCGGCGTCGGCGCTCTGGGAGACGCTCGGGTCCACCTGTGAGCCGGGATGGGAGGAAGACGGGAGGCTGCCCGAGCGCTGGCACCTTCTCGCGTCGCCTGTCCCTGGGCACTGGGCGGGAAGCGGCAGCCAGGAGGAGCGAGCAACAGGCGGCGCGGAAGACGGAGCGGGAGAGCAAAGCGCGTGTCGCGGTCGCCTGCTGCAGGGCTCCCGGGCCCCGTCGCCCCTCCCCTAGCAACGGCCCCGCCCCTTCTCTCTGGTTTCCCCCTCCCCCTGCCCCCGGACCTGCCGCGGCTCTGGGGAGCGAGCGCAGCACCCGCAAAGTCCCAAGGCTGGAAGGGATCTGGAGATCCCGGCAGCTCTGCCCTCGGGCGGCGAAGGTCGTGCCCCGCGGGGCAGCCGCGGACTGTTCTGAGCTGGAAAAATCTCCCCAGGCTCCCATTCCGAGATTTCCTGAAGCCTACCCACATCTCTTCTCTCTTTAAGTCCTAGCAAGTCATCCTAGACATCAGAGGAGTAGCTGTTATCCCTTCCCCCTTTCTCTTCTTCTTTGGGGCCGTGGCCCTGGGTCGCCCGAACCTGTCCAGTGCCGCCTTTCCCGGGTCCTCCGCGTTTCACCCAAACTAAAGGCAGTGGAGCCGAGGAGAGCTGTCTGCTTCCTTCCCACCCCACCCTCATCCTGCCCCATTTGATTTTTTTTTAATTTAAAAATACATTATTGGGGTTTTTCTTTCTCCCTTCATTTTTTTTGTAAACTAGCTAGAAACTATGGATTAGCAAAATGAAAAGTTTAAAACCTCATTATCCTGCTCTCCAGTGGGTGCCGACGTTACCACCTTAGTACAAAGTCTGGGCCTTTTTCTGTGTCTCTCTATACACATATATTCAAAATAGAGATGCCATGTTCATACATGCCGTTTTGTAACCTTTCGTCATTTAATAGTATATCTTTTCATTGTAATATTCATCTACAATAGTGCTTCTGAACTGCAGGAGGATTTGTTAAAACCCAGATTGCTGGGCCCAGCCCAGAGCTTCTGAATCAGTAAGTCTGGTGTGGGGCTCCAGAATGTGCATTTCTAGCAAATTGCCAGGTGATGCTCATGCTGCTCTTGCTGACCACACTTTGAGAACTATTGTAACTTCGTTTTTAGTGAAGGAATGGTGTTCCAAGTTGTAGACATCTACATGTTTAACCGAGGTCTCTATTTCAGGATATTAGAGTTGTTCATGCCCTCCCCCCCTCCTTTTTGCATCAGAAATATTACTACGAAGAGCTTTGTAACAAAGTCTTTGTGCAGAAACTGTAATGTTTTACTTATATTACATTTTGGAAAAATGGACCCGTAGAATCAAAAAATTATATCCTACCAAATTGCTCTCCAGAAATGGACCAGTTTACACTCCAGTCCTGTGGGAAAGAGGACATTGCCTCCAATCCTGGTTATTGTCATTATTTTAAAAATCTATGCCGGAGTTTATGGGATAGGGGATGGTTTCTCACCTTTGTGTCAATTTGCATTCTTTGATTTTTGTGGAAGGAAAGCATTTAGGGAGCTTTGCAATAATCCAGACAAAAGATGCTGGCTGTAGGCTTGGATTCCAGTGGTAGTGGTGGAGAGAGAGAGAAGTGGATGGAAAGGGTTTGGCAAATTAGAGTGAGGGGATTCAGGATGCCCCCAGCATTCGAGCATCTCAGAGCCACCACCCCGCGCACCCACCATTAGCAGAACACCAATTCATGCGTGTGCATGTGTGTCCTGGGAAGCTATCAGATTTCTCATTTTAAAGATGACGAAACTGATGCACATGCATAGACACACACACACACACACACACAAGATTGGCTTATCCTCCTCAGTCCTAGCAAAGCAGCCTGGCACAAGAGCACTCAGAGTTTTCTGAGCAGCAGTCTCCTCTGACCACCTCTCAGAACCAGGACAGACAGGATGATGACAGGTTCCTGGCCCAGACATTTGTCCTCTGCTTTTGACCAGTTGGATTCCTTTAGAGAAATGCTCCTTTGTTATGTCCTTTGTCCATCCTTCTCGTGAGACCATCCTCAGACTTTGTTATGTCCTTTGTCCATTCTTCTCCTGAGACCATCCTCTGACTTGGAGTCCATGCCCTTGACTCTGTCCAGCTGAGGTCAGGTTGTCTACTGCACAGAAAAAGGTAGTGTGAGTAAAAGTAGGGTACAGGGACCTGCCTACCCCTGCAAGAGGCTATGAAGAGGCCGATGGTCTTTCCTTTATTAACCATCTATTATATACTCAATGAATCAAATATACTACTTTGCGGAATTCTTACACCAGCCCTTGAGTTCCACTGGATTGTCTCCTTGACATGAGGAAACAGAAGTTAGAGTGGTTGATTGACTTACTCAAGACCACACAGCTAGTTAAACATCAGAACCAAAATTTGAGTCCTGATCTGTCCTGTTCCAAAGCTACACTCTCAATTATTCCTGTCCCCCCTCTCTTCCATCATCTGGATACCTAGGGGGAGAGGAAGATATTGTCTATTCCCTGGGAGCAGGAAGGTAGAGAGAGAATTTGGGCTTGTGGAAATAAAAACTATCCAAATGAAAACATGCAAAGCTATTTATTCAGAACTCGCTACAACAAGGGAGTCGGCCACCATCACTTGAGTTTGGTAGATGCTCAAAAGCAGGCAGAGGAGTGGGAAAGCTTTATGGCAGAAAAAAAGGGAAAGATTCAGATGTGCTCTGATTAGAGGCTGTTGGCAGGGGGACAGTGGAAGTGGGCTAACTTGAAGCAGGGCATCTGATGTGATTGATTAGGGGAGCATTTTTGACTTTCTCTCTATATTAGAAGTATGAGAAAAATTAGGGAAGCTGTCAGTTGTTGATCAAAGCCTGGCCATTTTGGCTGGTTGCTATAGCAGCTGTGATTGGTTTCTTGGCTGTTTCTGCAGGTAGCGGATCACAGTTCTATTTTTATATATGGTCTGGACATTATCTGTTTGTATTCAGTCTTTCATACTCCCCCTCCCGACTCCCAGAGTGAAAGAGTGGGGTGCCTGCCTGGCCTGGAACCAGCCAGGTGTTCTCTATCCAGTGCTCCCTCCTTCTGCTTCTCCCTCCTACCTTTGCCGGCAAGTCTGGTTGCTATTTGATGTGCACTAACTCTTAATTCTTATCGTAACTCTGGAAGGTAAGTGTATTAGTCATTCATTGCTGCACCCAGCTAAGCTGCTTCCTGATTCCTGGCCCTTAGAAGCTGTATGAAATAATAATATTTGCTAAATTTACTAAAGAGTTCTATCGTTAAACATTGTGTACTGCATCCCCCCCTGGGAAAGTCACATGAGGTTGTCCAAGATGTTGGCCAGGACCACAGTCATCTGAAGCTTGACTGGGGGTTAACAGATGTGCTTCCAATATGAACCCCTGATATGGCTGTTGTCTCAAGGCCTCAGTTCCTGGCCATTTAGACCTTCTCACTGGCTTGCCTCCGAGTTACTCTTGAAAAATGTGTTGGAAACTGAGCGACTGTTGCATGGGAGGGACACAGAAGAGTGAGGTTGCGGAGTGAAACGTGTTAGCTGTCATTTCATCTTCGCAGCAAGCCTTATAGAGAGAAACCATTAGCCACATTTGACAAATGAGAAAAGGGAGGCTCAGAAAAGAGAAAAATCTTTCCTGAG